CGCAGATTTTTTTTTTTTAGACGTGTGTCAGATGCTACGCTGACAGTCTCTGTGTGTTTTGGCTTGACCTTATCATGCTTATTATGTGGTTAGCAACACAGAAATACGCGCTTTGTCTTCCACGCTGACAGTCTCTGTGCTGTGGATTACATTGTGTACGTTGGTTCTTTTTGTTCACCTGTCCTTTCTCATCCTCCTGCTATCCTAGTTCCTGTCGTTAGTTTGTGTGTTTACCGTCCTGGTCTCCTTAGTCATCACTGCCCTTCCCTTGTTGTATGTATTATGGACCCTGTTTTGTTGTCATGTTGTTTTTATTCCATTAAACCACCTTTTTTGTACTAGCACCTGGGTCAGCCATCTTGAGTCCAACCCCAGTTCTCCCTCACCCTCCTGGTGAGGGGGACTAAACTATAACAATTAGTCAGTTGCTTAATTAGCTGATCATCAGCAAAGCACTGCCTTATCAAACTATAAATTTAAAATATTAAAAGCATTTTAAATATAAACTGAAAAAATAAAGACATTTACACATATGCTCAAAGAACCAAAGTCATAATATTTTCAGTGTTTTAGTGGTAACCACCCCCTCAAAATTCTTCATTGGCCAGCTAGTGGTGTGACCCCATGAAATACTACTACATCAAGACTGTACGCTGAGAAATCAGCCAGTTGTTTGAAATGAAAGTTTTGAATTCAGTCCATTTATATTTGACATCCAAAACATTTTGGGTAGCAAAAATGTATTTTGATTGCAGTAGCAAAGCTTTGCTCTCATACAGTATATGTTTTCTTTGACTGCAGAATAAAGAAACAAAATTTATAATCCCTTTCGCATAAGGCATTCTGGATCCGGTTTTAGGCCATTGCTTGGTGCCAGTGCCTTACCTTGAATCTGGAAAGCTAATTTCTTCCACACAGTGATTGCTGCTGCAATCCATAGTTTACATCCATAGTTAGTAATGAAATGTGGAGCATGAAGATTCAGCCATTACTTAACTGTTAAGGCAGTGGGGCTGTATTTAAAAACCCTGAAAACATTTTCTCAGTCTGTTTCAATGTGTGAACAGCAGGGTTCTACATGAACACAGTGTTCTGCTGTAGTAAGAAATGTTTTGGTAATTTCCCCTGAGATTTCTGTGTGCACATTATTCACTGGTCAAATGGAAAATGGTGATCTCAGATTTCTCTGCACCTGAAACAGGATTTAGTAATATCTGACACTCAATCTGTTGGCTATTAGAGGGTTTGCTCAAATTGCTGGGAAACATCAATCAAAATCTGATCAAGCCACACCTATGCAGTCCTGATAAAGCGGAATACCTAAGTGTGTCTGACTAAAGATGTTGTCCTTGTTCTCTGTTGTCAGGTCTTCCGTAGGTGTTGGCTGGTGTTCAAGAAGGCTTCCAGTAAAGGACCCCGACGGTTAGAGAAGTACCCAGACGAGAAGGCAGCCTACATCAGGAGCTTCCACAAGGTAAATGATTCAGTGTGTCTACTGTGTCAGTATGCTTCAACAACACAAGATGATTAGTGTTCAGGTCCACTCGGCACGACCTGCCTCTTTCTTTTTTTCCTCTCCTGCTCTCCCTTTTTGCGGGATCA